CCAGCAAGCTAGCAAAGCTAAAGGGATTGCAAACAGGTTAGCATAACTCTAGCCAAACATTTTTTTAAATATAAATAAGTTACCTGGCTAGCATTTATGAAGCCAGCAAACACGTTCCTCCCACACTAGGAACGTATTTCCTCTAATGTTTAATGAAAAAAGGTGCCTCGCTCCCAAAACACAAGTTTTCTGGAGACTTGTGGGCAGAATGCTGATGACGTCGTCCCAAAAATGGGCTTTTGGTAGCCTGATTGCATCCAGACTGAGGAGAAATCCGCACACAATTTGTCCCTGACCACCTCCTGAAGTGGTCAGCCAGATATGAACACAATCCAACCACAATACTCGAGGAGGTTCAGAAAGTGCAGCTAACTTCAAGGGCCTCTTATAGCTCATATAAACATTGAAAACTTACGGCAAGTCATAGAACCCTAATTGGCAATTAGAGAATTTAAGGACACCTGTCACTCTCTGCCCCCCTACATCCAAAACCTGTCTGTGTTCAATGTCTAGTTTGAGGTCAGTGACCTCTGCATCAACTCTTATTACGGGGATTTGAACCTGCAAATTAGAAATGCTCTTCTCAGGTGGAGTTTGTAGTTCAATATCATTTTTTCCATTGTGTGCTTGCAAATAATTAATAGGGTGATTGCAAGCTTGTGTGTGCATGTGTGCGTATGTGTATACTGTAACATTCTGCCATCTGCCACCAGTTGTGTGCCCTTTATCTTTCTCCCCAACCATCCCAAAAATCTGCCCAGGAATGTTTTGCCCCTGGCCTACATGCCAATCCCAGTATGTAGACAAATGCTAGACAGATATAATTGTCTGTGTCTGCATGCCATGGTTAGAAAGTGAAAATAAGGAGGAAGAGCGCATGATGGGAAGTACTTGGAGTACTTTTACATGTACTGTAGTACCTTTTATGAAGGTCTGCCTCTAAGTCTGTAAGCTGCAGTGATGAAAAGCCAATATCCAACATGACAAAAGGTCCATTTATCAGCGCAGACGTGTTCCCAGCCTCAAGGTAAACCCCCCCCCCCCGACCTTAACACCTTAATCCCACAAAGCATCGGGTGTAAACACAAGCCTTATAAGGGCAATAGCCTGACTCAGAGAGCAGATAGGGACACTCTCTTATCACCACCCACTAAGGTGGTACTCTGAAAGAGTGACAGAGTTTTTTCTATTCCATCAAATCGATATGCTCTTCCCTGATATATTAATACTTGCTTAGTAATATAGAGTAGGTTGTACAACAGGGGGCAGAATAAGTCAGCCAGTCTAAACTGCCCTTTATAGCTTGAATGATGGGACCTGTAGATCCTTTCCCCTTACTGTTTGTACAGCTGGTTACATTTCATATGGACGTCCAATGGGTTGTTTTAGTTCAGGGGTCCAAGGTGTGAACCCCTGGCTGTCAGTGGAATTTACTTTACATTCTCTGACACTGTACTCACATTTCCCTAACCTCATCACCCCCATGCTTCAGTCAAACACAACCAGGCCCTGCCTTGTCAGTGAGGATCTACCATTCATACTGTGTGGAGAGAGTTGTGACGTGAGTGTCTAAACTTAATTTGACCTGAGCTGATGACAGATTCTATTAGCTTCACACGCCTCTGATTCATGATCCCTATTGATACCAGAGCATATTAGCTGAATAAGTGATAAATAGCAGTAAACTAAATAAAGTCAATGTTAACAAACTAACATATGGACTGTTCCTGGTTCCTCTCATTCCTCATCATCTTACAGAAAAACTGAGCTCAGAAGAGGCTCACTCATAATAAACCAGAGGTGCCTGGAGCCTGTCCCAAATGACACCCTATTCCCTATATAGTGCACTAGTGCAATGGCACCCTATTCCCTATATAGTGCACTAGTGCAATGGCACCGTATTCCCTATATAGTGCACTAGTGCAATGGCACCCTATTCCCTATATAGTGCACTATTGCACTAAATAGGGAATAGTGTCCCCTCCCAAATCGCCCTTGGGGATGATTGAGTTGTTGAATTGGATTGAGATGTCTACTACATTAAAAACTGTAACTTTCTTTTAACAGATTTAATCCCAGGGGAAACCTTCACTTTATGTGTACAGAGTCTGTTGCAACCCCTACAAAAATGTGGCTACAAAAATGTGGCTACAATTCCCAATTGAGTCTTATGTACCATTTACATTTTTTGTATGTTTCATAAAAGTACAGACTCAGAGCTTCAAAATGGTATATGATACACTGCAGTTGGGGTTAACAGTTATGCTTATTTGAAATGTGATAACTTGTTATTAAGTTCCAGAAGGTTTTACACACTTGCTCAAGAGGTATTTTTTGAATATGCTCATTCAGCATAGTTCCCACTCTCTTAAGCCTTAGCCCCACCCACATACATTTTTTCGCCACTGAACAAATTTCAGGTCTGCTGTGCGCAAACTTGAACATTGTGAAAATCCTGTGCAACTTCCAGCGCACGTTTATTGTGAACACTGAGGCTGTACCCGCTTTAAGTTACAGTTTTAACAGTGGCTAAGTAGGCTACTGTGGCTATTTGATCATAATGTAGGCCTACCAGAGTGTCCTACCATCAAAAACAATGGAGAAAATGCATCCCATAATATTTTAACATGGAAATACAGTGGCTTGCGAAAGTATTCACCCCCCTTGGCATTTTTCCTATTTTGTTGCCTTACAACCTGGAATTAAAATGGATTTTTTGGAGGTTTGTATCATTTGATTTACACAACATACCTACCACTTTAAAAAGTAAAAATATTTGTTATTGTGAAACAATAGAGACATACCCCCAAAGTCAATACTTTGTAGAGCCACCTGTTGCAGCAATTACAGCTGCAAGTCTCTTGGGGTATGTCTCTATAAGCTTGGCACATCTAGCCACTGGGATTTCTGCCCATTCTTCAAGGCAAAACTGCTCCAGCTCCTTCAAGTTGGATGGGTTCCGTTGGTGTACAGCAATCTTTAAGTCATACCACAGATTCTCAGTTGGATTGAGGTCTGGGCTTTGACTAGGCCAATCCAAGACATTTAAATGTTTCCCCTTAAACCACTCAAGTGTTGCTTTAGCAGTATGCTTAGGGTCATTGTCCTGCTGGAAGGTGAACCTCTGTCCCAGTCTTAAATCTCTGGAAGACTGAAACAGGTTTCCCTCAAGAATTTCTCTGTATTTAGCGCCATCCATCATTCCTTCAATTCTGACCAGTTTCCCAGTCCCTGCTGATGAAAAACATCCCCACAGCATGATGCTGCCACCACCATGCTTCACTGGGGATGGCGTTCTCGGGGTGATGAGAGGTGTTGGGTTTGCGCCAGACATAGCGTTTTCCTTGATGGCCAAAAAGCTCAATTTTAGTCTCATCTGATCAGAGTAACTTCTTCCATATGTTCGGGGAGTCTCCCACATGCCTTTTGTTTGCTTGTTTTTGTCTTTAAGCAATGGCTTTTTTCCGGCCATTGTTCCGTAAAGCCCAGCTCTGTGGAGTTTACGGCTTAAAGTGGTCCTATGGACAGATACTCCAATCTCCGCTGTGGAGCTTTGCAGCTCCTTCAGGGTTATCTTTGGTCTCTTTGTTGCCTCTCTGATTAATGCCCTCCTTGCCTGGTCCGTGAGTTTTGGTGGGCGGCCCACTCTTGGCAGGTTTGTTGTGGTGCCATATTTTTCCATTTTTTTATAATGGATTTAATTGTGCTCCGTGGGATGTTCAACGTTTCGGATATGTTTTTATAACCCAACCCTGATCTGTACTTCTCCACAACTTTGTCCCTGACCTGTTTGGAGAGCTCCTTGGTCTTCATGGTGCCACTTGCTTGGTGGTGCCCCTTGCTTAGTGGTGTTGCAGACTCTGGGGCCTTTCAGAACAGGTGTATATATGCTGAGATCATGTGACAGATCATGTGACACTTAGATTGCACACAGGTGGACTTTATTTAACTAATTATGTGACTTCTGAAGGTAATTGGTTGCACCAGATTTAGGGGCTTCATAGCAAAGGGGGTGAATACATATGCACGCACCACTTTTCCTTTATTAATTTTTTTGAATTTATTTAAATAAGTTATTTTTTTCATTTCACTTCACCAATTTGGACAATTTTGTGTATGTCCATTACATGAAATCCAAATAAAAATCAATTTAAATTACAGGTTGTAATGCAACAAAATAGGAAATACGCCAAGGGGGATGAATACAGTATCTACCTCAACTACCTTGTACCCCTCGACTCGGTACTGATACCCCGTGTATATAGCCAAGTTATCGTGTGATATAATTTGTTCTATTTTTCTCTCTGCATTGTTGGGAAGGGCCCGTAAGTAAGCATTTCACTGTTAGACTACACTTGTTGTTTACGAAGCATCTGACAAATACAATTTGACTTTGATTTTATTTAATGCGGCTTATTTTACTTTCAGATGGCGAGCCACAACCTCCTTCACAGACCGTCACGGTAAATGGCTGGCCACACAAAGGCACAAGAGTCTCAACTCGGAGAGTGAATAAAAGCTTCTTCCATCTGTGCGGCGGGGGAAAGGGCCTCTGTGGAGCCGCGGAGGCGTCAGCCGGAGGTCGATAACAGGAAAGAAAGCAGTACTGCTGCAGTGATCGTCTTTCAGTCTCAGCCACTCACCTTTCCTGCCATGGCCCTACCGTCAGCTCTCTGTCCTCCTGATGCTCTCTCAGAGGGAACGTAGAGAGATACACACTAGAGACACACTCTCCAGCACCACACACACACACACCCCTTCATGGGGACAGACCTCATGCAGAGATACCATACACACACACTCCGGAGCACAAGAGACCTTTGTTGTGTGTGTTTTTTTACCTTGTAGGCAATTATTTTTCCCCAACCAGAATTAGAATTTTTGTGACTCTCTGTCCTGTGTGATTGGACCTCTCAGTAGCTTAAGGGGAGTGCTGTCTTGCTCTGCTGCTTTATGGTTGGGTGTCCCTGGGACGTTGTGACTGAGCAGGGGGAGCCAGCATGGCCAGGCCTCTGCTGAAAATCCAACGCTACTTCCGCAGGAAACCTGTGCGCTTCTTCTCCTTCATCCTCCTCTACCTGGCAGCTGGGAGCCTGGTATTCCTGCACTCTGGCTTCGTAGGGGACAGCTCCACGGGGGCAAATGGGGGCCGGGACCCCCTGGTGGCATCTGGGATAGGGAACAGGGCGGCCTCCTCAGACGGCCGGGGGGTAGGAATGAAAGGGAGGGTGTTCAAAGAGACGCGCAGACCCACCCCGCGGAGGTACGGCCCTCCCTGGACGAAAGGGGCTGCTGGGAAGGACAGTCATGACAGGGAGGGCCGAGGAATAGACTACACCAGCACCTGGAACCGCGCCCTCAAGGGACGCAACGCCAAAGATTTGGACGATGGACGGGGTGAGTCAAAAGTTTATGTCGAGACACTGATAGTTGTACAGTACCTACAGTACATGGTTGGTATACACTATATATACAAAAGCATGTGGACACCCCTTTAACCTCTTAAGGATCTGACCCTTTTTTTTTTAAAATTTTCGCCCAAAATGACATACCCAAATCCAATTGCCTGTAGCTCAGGACCTGAAGCAAGGATATGCATATTCTTGATACCATTTGAAAGGAAACACTTAGAAGTTTGTGGAAATGTGAAATTACTGTAGGAGAATATAACACATTAGATCTGGTAAAAGATAATACAAACAAAAAAACATGCGTTTTCTATTTATTTTTTGGTTCCATCATTGAAATGCAAGAGAAAGGCCACAAAAGAATATTGCAGTTTAGGCGTCCATCTCCTTCTTGGGTCATCGGTTGTCAGCGGCAGGGGTGAAGATGGAGATTGACCGTGTGTCAGCCGTGCGTAACTGGCAAACCCCAACCACTGTTAAAGAGGTGCAGCAGTTTTTGGGTTTTGCCAATTACTACCGGAGGTTTATCCGGGGTTTTGGACAGGTAGCAGCTCCCATTACTTCCCTGCTGAAGGGGGGCCCGGTGCGTTTGCAGTGGTCTGCTGAAGCGGACAGGGCGTTTTGTAAACTGAAGGACCTGTTCACTTCGTCTCCGGTGCTGGCGCACCCGGACCCCGCTTAGCACGCTCCTAAGCTCCGTCCCTGCGTTTTTTATTCTAAGAAGCTCAGTCCGGCGGAGCGTAATTATGACGTAGGGGACAGGGAGCTGTTAGCTGTGGTTCAAGCCCTAAAGGTGTGGAGGCATTGGCTTGAGGGGGCTCAACACCCTTTTCTCATTCTGACTGACCATCGTAACCTGGAGTACATCCGGGCAGCTAGGAGATTGAACCCTCGTCAGGCTAGGTGGAACATGTTTATTGTGGGAAGCTTGTGGAAGGCTAGCCAAAATGTTTGACCCAAGTTAAACAATTTAAAGGCAATGCTACCAAATACTAATTGAGTTTATGTAAACTTCTGACCCACTGAGAATGCGATGAAAGAAATAAAAGCTGAAATAAATCATTCTCTTTACTATTATTCTGACATTTCACATTCTTAAAATAAAGTGGTGATCTTAACTGACCTAAAACAGGGATTTTTTACTAGGATTAAATGTCAGGAATTGTGAAAAACTGAGTTTAAATGTATTTGGCTAAGTTGTATGTAAACTTCCGACTTCAACTGTAATTGGCCCTTCAGGTGATGCTTCTCCAGGGCAGGCAGGTCACCCGTAATACAAGTCAGTATTTGACTTTCATCCATGTCTGAGGACATTGGGATTTGGAAACTGGCCATTATGGGCAACAGTGAGCACTGTTACCTTCAAGTAGATTTCGGTGTTGCTAGGACATTATGGACGGGGATGGCGGATGGGCTTAAGCTTCCACCTCTGATTCCAAAGGTTGCATGTTTGAATCCAGCGATAGAAAGTTGTTTTTGATATTTTTATTTTAAGCCTATCCCAAACCTTAACCCTTACCTTAACCATTTGGAGTTAATGCCTAAACTTAACCTTAAACACTTCGAATTTTGATGTTTGGAACAACTTAAAAATGTGACGATTGAGAAACATGGATGAACGTCTAATTCTGACGTGAGACTGTGAGAGCTTGTAGCTCCAGGGAGATGAAGAACTCTCTCCCAGGGAGATCTAGAACCAGGGGCTCAGTTAGCTCAGTGGTGCCACCCACCCTGGTCCTCCTTGCCCACAGTCAGTCAACACCCACCAGCAGGCCACTGAGCATGGTTTTGTCAGGGGGATATTCAGAACGTACTGATTTGCTTTACAGTGATAGCAGGTTTTCCCTATATTTTATTATGTATGTTTACCCATATAATGGAGCTATCCTTCGCAACATCTGGTGTAACATTGTAAGTATTACCTAGATACCAAGATGCCACAGACAAGTGACTTGGAACCAAACCACAAAATATAATTCAAAAACTAAGCTAATTTAAGTATTGGCTCAATCTCTGCCCATTAGGCTAATCCGGACTGATGTTTGAAGGGCTCACACTCCTAACAGATGGTTTCTAAGCATAGATCTCCAATCTTGGGTAAAATCCTGCACTGCTCATTTTCATGGGCCATATGTAGCATGTCCATGGCAATTAACCTTTCCCAAAAAGAGCTGGCTTGAGCTCCTGTGAAGTGATGTAGATTCATTTAGCATGGGACTCCACATGGCTGGCTTCTGTGAGCAGCTGGTAGCAGACTGGGAGTGCCAGAAGAGCACAGCACAGCACAGCGCACCGCCCTGATTCCCTCACATCTAATCATGTTATCCTCCTCATTGATCTTTACATTCCCCATACTGGACTTTAAAGTATATAGTAGGATTTGTACCAGATGACAGTAGTATAACCATAGAGATATAATCTATTTCTATGAGTATTACCTTCATAGTGCAAGGATACCTACATATAGTAAGCCTATGCATTAGAGAAATAGGTATTACAAGCACAAGCAGTTCCTGAGTGGAATTGATTTGCACAGGGATTGTTTTTGTTGCATTCATATGGTATTCATATGGTATATGATTGTTTTCCATCTTTCTGATTGAGAGAAACACAAAACGTGATTTATATAGTACATGTATTATTGCTACGGATTATCAGATCATATGAGAGGCCCTCAGTTTGTCTCCATGTAGTATGTCCTCTCTGTCTAGGTCCTTGCTCTCTCTCTCTCTCTCTCTCTCTCTCTCTCTCTTCCTCCCTCTGTTCTTTCTCTGTGAAGTGGTAACCCCCACACGACCACAGCAGAGCGCTAGCTGAAAGAGTAATTAGTGCTTTCAAAGCAGCGCAGCTCCCCTTCATCCACGACTCCTATGTGCCACAGTGCTCCACCATCCCCACCGCCCCCTCATCACACTCCAGGCCCCTGTCATGTTCTCGTCAAGAGCAGCCACACCCAACCCGCTCCCCACCATACACACATGGGTACGCACACGTATGCACACGCACACACACACACTGTCTGAAAGAAACATTAACCAAATACTGTCTTCCCTGTATTCAACCACCTCATCTACCCTGTTTTAAGGAATAATCCAGCAAGGGTATTGTTGTTATCCAGTACAGAGTAATTGTATCTGTTGACATCCCTCATGAGGCCAGAACATTACTGTATAGTATATAATAAGATTATATAATAAGATAATAACATTATTCGAGAGGGGAGACAGTAAGCTCATACTGTGGCGTCAAACTCAGAGAGGCAGATTGTTTCTGACGTCTGTTATTTGTTTGGGAAATCGAGAGGAAAAACACAGCTGTTTGAAATGGAACCATTATCCATCACCTGTCAGCACCAGATCTTCTGAATGAGAGAGATGCCTACCTATCATCACAGCCCTGAATACAACTCTATACAGGTGGCTGAGTGGTTGCCCTGCACTCCTGCCATTCATCTGTGTACACAAAGTATTTGTTCGTACAGTAGAGCATTTATATTATGTGTCTGTTGTTAATCTTATTGCCACATGACTGTGCTTACGTCACAACCTGCAGATATATACAGTATCTCTGCTTCCCTGTATGGCTGCTGATCTGATTATTTAATTTAATAAACTCAGCACAAAAACGGAAGGTGGAAGGTCAGCCCCATTGAAGTGCAGTTCAGTAGAGCTAAATCACTGCTTCCCTTTGTCATAAAGCAGATTAGTGATCATGCTCAGTCTGCTGTGCTGCTATGTCTGGGAGGAAGATTACTGCAAGGTCCTACAGAGCACCGCAGACTGCCGCTCAACTGCCTTTTAGACCATTACAATTACAGTAATGTGGTGGGTTAGGATGTGCATTGTTCAACCCCCCCCCCCCCCCATTTGGAGATTGCAGGGGACAGATGGTGTGGGTTTTGGATTGGTCTATCCAGCATGCTACCTCACAGACAGAGCAGGAAGGAGGTTTGGAAGGATCAACCAGTCCTATTGCTGAAGGACATGATCAGCCCTCCCTCCCTCCTTACTCACTTTGAATAAGTCAGAGAGGAAGTGGACTGAGTGCCATTGCAGTAGCAGGCCACTAGAAGGGGTTGTGTGTCTTTATAAATAAACATGCTAGTCTGGTATTGATTCCTTGAGCAGCAGTATTGCCCTGCAGTGTGTCTGCACTGTATGGAGCAGATTGATGAGTTTTTTTACTGATTTACAGATTGTCTCTACAGAAGTTACCATGGCTGTATTAATAAGCAAATACCATTGGAAATGTTCTAAAATGTTAATTTTTTTCTCACATAAGCTATGGAATTACATTTTAAACAAAACAAAAAAACAAAAATGTTTTCGTCATGTGCTGTCCAAAACTACATTATTGCCTATCTCCCTTGTCTCCTATAATATTAATTGGTCTGCTTGAATTGTGTATATTTGATTTATTATCAGAAATGTTATGTTCTTCTCTCTTACAGCAAAGTACATCGGCTGCTATATTGATGACACAGCGAAAAGAGCACTTAGGGGAGTGTCCTTTTTTGACTACAAGAAAATGACGGTCTTCCGTTGCCAGGACAACTGTGCTGAAAGGTAGGCCTGGGAATATAAAAACTCACAAACACGACGATTCAGTACAAAGACATAACAAGCAATCAAATGTCCTCTGGTGTGCTTACTGTCCTTGTTACTTCTTAATTAATTGGTGGTTGCTACTGTAAGTGTTTGGCTGAGGAATGACAGGATATAAAATGCTTATGTTACAAACACACACACGCACTCATGCACGCATATAAACATATACAAACACACACACACACACAGTCACAGGGTGGGAGTGAGGAGTAAAGGTTGTGTACCTGATCAGTGTGTAGTAGATTAACATGTCTGGCAGAATGAAATGAGTCCTGTCTAATGGATATAGGGCCTTGGCCCAGCTATCATACACTCTCAGCCTCTACCATCTCTCTCTTCCTTTCCTTCACATTAGCTCTCTATAACTGTAGTCTCCATACTTTTTTCACATTATTTATCTCTGTCTCTCTCTGTTTTTCTCTCCTTCTCGCTCTCTTTCTCTCTTTCTCTTTCTCTCTCTCTTTCTCTATTTCTCTCTCTCTTAGCCTGCCTCTGTCCTCCTCCTATCATATTTTCTTCAAATAATCTCTTTCTCCCGGTCCACCTTGCCTCCTACTGTCCCTCTCTCTCTCCCAATGGCTCAGCCCAATGCATTCCATTACTAGAGAAAGAGAGGAGGAAAACAAGAGAAGAGAGAGAGAGAGAGGGGAGAAGTAGAGAGCATGTTTTCATCTTCCTCTTCTGCTCCTCTCTCTCTCTCTCTCCTCCAACCCCTCCCAGAGCAGGCTGCTCATATGCAGACAAATCCATAGCTGTGGAAAGTAGGGGTGCTAAGGGTGCTGCAGCACTCCCTGAAAAATCAGAATAAAAAAATATATTATTGTTGTGCGAAGTTGCTGGATATTGGTGGGAACAGGAACACGCTGTTGCACATGTAAATCCAGAGCATCCCAAACATGCTCAATGGGTGACATGTCTGGTGAGTATGCAGGCCATGGAAGAACTGGGACATTTTCAGCTTCACGGAATTGTGTACAGATCCTTGCGACATGGGGCCGTGCATTATCATGCTGAAACATGAGGTGATGGCGGTGAATGAATGGCACAACAATGGGCCTCAGGATCTCGTCATGGTATCTCTGTGCATTCAGATTGCCATCGATGAAATGCAATTGTGTTCATTGTCCGTAGCTTATGCCTGCCCATACCATAACCCCACATCTGTTCACAATGTTGAAATCAGCAAACCGCTCGCCCACACGACACCATACACGCTGACTGCGATCTGCCCGGTACAGTTGAAACCAGGATTAATCCGTGAAGACCACACTTCTCCAGCGTGCCAGTGGCCATCGAAGGTGAGCATTTGCCCAGTGATGTCGGTTACGATGCCGAACTGCAGTAATGGCAAGACCCTGGTGAGGACGACGAGCATGCAGGTGAGCTTCCCTGAGATGGATTCTGACAGTTTGTGCAGAAATTATTCGGTTACGCAAACCCACAGTTTCATCAGCTGTCCGGGTGGCTCGTCTCAGACGATCCCGCAGGTGACAAAGCCAGATGTGAAGGTCCTGGGCTGGCGTGGTTACACGTGGTCTGCGGTTGGGAGGCCGGTTGGACATACTGCCAAATTCTCTAAAACGACGTTGGAGGCGGGTTATGGTAGAGAAATTAACATTCAATTCTCTGGCAACAGCTCTGGAGGACATTCCTGCAGTCAGCATGCCAATTGCAAACTCCCTCAAAACTTGGGTTAATTTAACCATAAATTGGGTTTTTATTCATTTTCATCCTGGGTTGACCCAGCAGCTGGGTATTTTTTAATATAATCCATAGGTGATTTTCAGGAGTCGTGCAATATCAGGGGCGTGGCTTTTAGATAGTTATTTTTGGCCACCCGTGAGACTAAACGTCATCATGTTAAGTTAGTACACTACAAATTCTAGTTTTCCTTTAATATTTTTGCACATTACATATTCTAATATAAACTTAATAACATTATTTTTGACATATTGTAACAAAGTGGTAACTATCCCAACATTGGGAAATGCATAGGCTCTTGAGGAACTCATACACGTGTGTAAGCCTCATTAAAGCTACAAAAGTGTCAGTATTCAGCCTTAACATGTGATAACAATACAACAGAACAGATGAACCGGAATTACATTTACTCTCACAGGTGGCCAAAAATAACTATCTGAAAGCCACGTTCCTACTAAGCCACGCCTCCATTCTTCTGATCTGACCTGCTGGGTAATATCTCAATAACCCAGTATCAATACTCCAGCATCAACAACCCAACCGTGCTGATTTAAAAGAAAACAACCAAATTAAGTAACCAAATGCCTGCAACCCAGCTGTTTTGTGTAAAGGCTGTGTTGTGTTCGCCATCTATTGGTATTCTAAAGGCCTCTGAAGAATCAAATATGCATCCCTCATGTGCCACTTCCAGGTTACTGTACCCCAAGGAGTGTACAGGCCATGTGTGTTTGATGGATAGAGCCTTCCAGAATACTGTACTCTGCATGGACTTCCTAATCAGCGTCACCCTAGAAAATGTATTTCTTTAAAAAAGCTCTGGTGTCTTGGTGCAGTATTAATGCATGCACTCTCTCTCTGATCCCACCCTTGTCCACCCAGAGGGCTCTCTTCATCTTGGAGAGGGCGAGTGAGGTTACTGCTGGTTACCCAACTGACTGTCTATGAGTCATTCACCCTATTAGTGGACTGACTGCAGCGAGAACTGCTGTGAGAGAGGGTGACGTGTGTCTTGCTGCTGCATGCATAATCGAATCCTGAAATACAAGACCACTTCCCTCTGGTCAGACATTGCAGACTGCAGTTGGTGAGACAGGATGTTGACAGATCCCCACTAGAAGCCCTGAGAGTCTTTCTGCTGTAGGGACATTGTTATTTCTCATCATGTTGCAACCAATGTTGAATATTCTTGTGTGAGCCAGATCCTCTCTGTTATTATTGATGATATAGTTTTATTAAGTTTTCTTGTTTTTCAATCAACAAACAAAACACATTCAACATTCACAGATGTGGCAGATATAAATAATAATATTATTAAATTAAATTAAAAACAAACAACAAATTTGCAGCAACACTATCTGTGCTCATGTTAGCTATTTCCAGCTTTAGCTGAGACAACGTGCAAATAATTAGTTTTACAGCACCTTACACAACATGTACTGTAGATATACACATTTCCTTAATAACCCCATTAATTCTGTCCAGTTTGAAATATAGTTGAGTAGTGGAGACCAGAGTCTATCAGACCTGGGCTGTCTCTTGCAGAGGTCATAAGTGAGCTTTTAAAGAGGAAGAAATCAACAATCTGGTCAATCCACATTTTAAATGTAGGAGAGGAATTAGAAGGCCACAGTAGGATAATACATTTTTTAGCAAAGTATGTGGTCGTCATAAACACCTTTTCTCTGTCTGGATCAAGAACAATGTCCTGCTGAGCATTAAGAAGATAGAGACACAGGGTCATATCAAACTGTACATCTAATATTTTGTGTGCAGCAGTATGTATAGATTGCCTAAATCTGGTAATCTCTCTACAACTCCAAAATACATGCATATAGGTTCCACTTTCAGAGGTAGATATTTTACAATCAGGAGAAATGTCTGTATTCATTATATGGAGTCTCACTAGGGTATAATACAATTTGTACAAAAATGTGTAATTAGATTATTTCATTTTTATATTTATCACGACTCAGGATATGACCCAGATGCAGACACTGGAGGCGGATAGTTTGATTCTCAGAATATTTATTACAACAAAGGGGCAGGCAAAGGGCAGGTCGAGGGCAGGCACAGGTTCCTAATACAAGGCAGAGTCAATCAGGGACAGAACGGCAGGAGGGCTCAGGGTCAGGACAGGCAGAAAGGTCAAAACTGGGAAGACTAGAAAACAAAACTTGAGAACAGGAGAAACACGCTGGTAAGACCTGACAAAAATTTCAAAGTATTGAAACCCCTGTGTCTTCCATTGGAACGGGCAGAGTGTCTTCATAGACCTGATGAGTGTACGATTGAGAAGGCAAACAAAGGATTTGTTAAAATGTATCTTATATCCTGAAAACTTGCCATACTGAGCAATTGTGTCTAAAATGGGAGGGAGAGATTTCTCAGGGTTGGATATGTAGAGCAAGACATCCTCCGCATAGAGCAAAATCTTGTGCTGAAGGCCGCCTGCAGAAAGGCTCCGCCCCCAACAAGCAGAGCAGAGGGGACAGCGAGCATCCTTGTCTTGTGTCACGTCCCAAAGAGAATCTGTCAGAGTTCAGACCATTAGTAGACACCATGGCATTTGGATGAAAATATAGAAACTTAATCCATTTAATAAAGTTTGGGCCCATATTTAACTTTTCTAAGACTGAGAACAGAATGCTCCACTCCATCCGGTCGAACGCTTTCTCAGCATCCAGTGAAGCCAGCAGGACAGGGGTCTTCTGTGCATTTACTTGATCTATAATGTCAAAAAGACGGCAAATGTTTTCAGAAGAGTACCTGTCTCTAATAAATCCAGTTTGGTCCGCTTTTATTATTTTGGGAAGAAGAGTGTTAAGTCTTTTGGCGAACAATTTGGTAATTATTTTGTAGTCGAAATCGGAAGGACGAGCAGGATAGAGGGTCCTTGTCTTTTTTGAGCAACACTGTAATGCGGGCTGTGTACATAGAGTCTGGGAGAGCTCTGTTTTCGCAAAAATCATCCAGCATTGGCATGAAAATAGGGCTAAGCTGGGGCCAAAAAGCTTTGCAGAACTCTCTGTGGAATCCATTTGGGCCTGGGGACTCCTCTGGAGTGAAGGGGGAGTTGAGACCTTCTTGGTCGGTCTCTGATAGCTTTGGTAGCGAGATTCCCTCTAGGAAGGAACAGAGTTCTGCATCTGTATGTTTTCTCTCAGAAGTATATAATTTGCAGTAAAATTCATGAAAAGTTACATTTATCTTATTTGGATCATATGTGACCTCGTCATCTGCTGTTGGGATGGCCATGATTGC